GAGTCTGAGCATTATTAATCTGCCTCATAATAACCTCTTCTTTACAGATAAAAAAAAAAAGATCCCGCGTGAGTGCAGAGCCTGCTTACTCCGGCCTAAACATGGAAGTTGATTTTAGTCTAAAACGTCTGAAAAGAAAATTACCGTACTTTGTGTCCATTTATAGAGTTCAGGGAAGCTGATCAAATTTTCCCCAGGGACTTTCTCCGGGAAGGAATGCAAATGATAACAAATTAAGCCTCGCATCAGGACGCTGTGGCATGGTGATTTTAACAACATACTCACACGTGTACGTCCACAGATACGGTTTCCAAAGAAGACAACACAAAACAAAACATGCATACACACATATTTGAAATTAACTGTGTTTAAACTTTAGCTTCCAGTGTAAGTTCATCTAGCCAGACAGTATGGATAACATACCAGAAGCTACATGTGCACCTATGGAATATATGTAAGGCTGTTCCAATGTTAAAATAATTAACAAGTGTAGTTTTGCTACTGCTGCAGCTGCTGTTTGGAATTTTCCTTAAGTATAAATGTTTTGTCCAGAGGGTAAAACTGTGTCCAGGAACTTGGTTTGACCAAGTGCCATGGTGTAAAATATTGAAGAGAAATGCAGAAACTAACATGGATTCCTAGAGCAAACAAACCTTGTTATGTGGCTGTGACAGAATTTATTTTTATTAAGTTAACAAGTTGGAGAAACAGTTAATTTAATAAGAAAAGTCAAAGCTATATACATGCCCTGGACACTTTATTAGGTTCCCTATGCTAGTACTGGATTGGCCTCAATTCTTCATAGTACGAACTTCAATAAGGTGCTGGAGAAGTCACACAGTTGCTGCAGATTTGTCAGCTGCACATCCATGATGGTGCCACCACATCCCAAAGGTGATCTATTGGATTGCGATCTGGTGACTGTGGAGGCCAGTTGAGGCCAGTGATCTCATTGCCGTTTTCAAAAAACCTGTTGGAGCTGATTTGTGGCGTGGTGCGTTATCCTACTGAAAGCCGCCATCAGGAGATGGGTACACTGTCATCACAAAGGGATGAACGTGGTCAGCAACAATAGTCAGGTAGGCTGTAGCATTTAAATGATGCTTAGTTGGGATAAAGAGGGTCCAAGTGAAAATATCCCCTGATATCATTACACAGTCAACACCAGCCTGAACCACTGATACAAGGTAGGCTAAATCCATGTTTCCATGTTGTTTATGCCAAATTCTGCCCCTAATATCTGTATGTTGAAGCAAAATTCAAGACTTATCAGACCAGGGAATGTTTTACCAATCAGCTGTTGTCACGTTTGGTGAGCATGTGCCTCAGTGTTTGTGTGGCCTCAGTTTCCTGTTTTGAGCTGGCAGGAGTGGTGCTTGGTTTGGCTTCTACTTCTGTTTGCCCATTCTCCCATAAACTCAAGGTATTATCACTCAATATTCACTTTTTTTTTAGATAATTCACTGCAAACCCTCAATTTGAACTTCAGCAGGTTATCTTGACCATGTCTACATGGCTAAATGCACTGAGTGGCTGCCATCTGAATGGGTGATTGGTATTTTTCTCCTGCAGTCCCGAGACATGTATATTTGTTTAGATGCTGATTCTATATTGGCCGTAGTGCATTAACGAGCTGTTGAACGGGTCTATCTGTGAAAGTGGGCACCGAGTACATCGGCACAAAAGACTTTGAATGGTTAACATAATGTGGTGTAAGTGGTTTGTTTTTGTAATTTATAATAAGCAAACATGGAGTATTTTTTCCTCCCCTTCGTTTGAATAGTTGGTTAACATTTTACTACTAAAGGCAAAGCTGACATTTGATATACTGAAGCGAGTCTGTTCAGGACACTGTCATGTGGTTATAAAGGCATTAGCACAGACTAAAACCCAGATTGTGACCTTTGATACTTGATGTGTAACTATTACACTGAATACTTTGTTTCATTTGGTCCTGTCGCACACTGTAGCTATGAAAATGGTGTAGTCATGGTAACTGGTTAAAACCACTTAGGTTAAAGCTAGGATTAGGTTAAGGCGATATAATTTAAATTGAGGTTTAGCAACCAAACAGTTTATTTAAGTGTGGAGTAAGCCACTGGTTATGATCAAATAACACAAACTGTAGCCTTAAAGTGAAAACCCTTCTCAGTATAATACTTCCTGGAAGAGCTGGATATTGAACCGAAGTCTGAAGTCTGAAGACAGACGTAAATACTCATCCATCACCCAAACCACAACGCCATTACTTTCTATCACACTGTTTTCATGTCAAACAAATGTTGAACTCATTTTGTTGAGGGAGTATCCTCTTTTCGTGGAAAGAAGAAGTGTGTGTCTTGG